CTAAATGCTATAATCCCACGCAGTCCACATGATGCTCTGTGCTATTAAGTGAAGTGACAGGAAAATAAGTGAGAGAACAGCAGGGTTATATCTCCCAATAGCTTGGAATTCATATCTAGAAAACAAATAGTACAAACTGTGTATCAGAGAAGTCTGAACCACAATGCTGAGGCGTTACTAAGTGCTGATATGGTTTTATTATTACTGGCTTTGCATTTTCATCGAAAGTCCATGCAAAATGAATATTGCCATGAATCATACATGTTGGGTCTTTGACATCTTATATTAAATTTGTCTTGAAGAATTTTGGTAGAAGTTGTAAAGGATACTAATATAAGTATGTGTTAAGGAGTTGAGGAAAAGGTGATAACTTGAAAAATACTGTATTGATACAAGATGATTGACATGCATGCAAAGAATCCTTGAAACAGTTCAGATTAGTGCTGAGATCCTGTCCACTTTGAACTGCTTAAAATCTAATAGAAACCTGGCTGTCCCCAAGCCCATGAAATCTGAAGTTCAAGAAAATTAAATCCACGTCTATAGCAATGCCATTTTCCTCACTATTTTCTACCCAATGAACATTGTGTGGGAAATTGATTCCATATGTTTTCAAGTCATTTTTGCAACTTGAATAATTAAAATATTCACTGATAAGAGCTGCCTGATGTCTTTAAAGTCAGGAAATTATCTTATGCCAAAAGTAGACAAGCTCAAACACCAAAAGGTCAAGCTAAATTTGAAATTTCACATCCCCAAATGTAATTATTATAAAAATTAAATCTTTGCTAATCCCTCCTGTTTATTATTACATGGCACAGAAATGAGAAATTATTTTATTCCTACAAAATGTTAGCTCTTTCTTTTAAGACGTGAAAAATCTTTGCCTATGTGTCCCCTTCTTGCTAAAGCTACCTACAAATTATGTTGGAGAATAGAATACTAATGACATTTGCAATAAAAATCTTATCAGCTCTTTTTAAAACAACATAATAAAATTAATGTCTGTCTTTTCAAAATAAAGTTAAAAGTAAAAAATAAAGTACAATGATGAAGATATATTTTACCTTAATCTATCTAAATACTTCTGAGTTTCAATTATTATCCCAGTTTTATAGATTTAGAAATCAAGGTCCTGATAGATTGGGAAATAACATCTTAACACAATAAGTTAAACTTTGCTTGAAATACTTTAGAAATTCATACTCAGAAGAAGGAATAAAGAAGATAGTTAATACAATATCAATTATACATTTTGATCCTTATTTACACTTTTAGTTTAAAAAAAAAAGATAGCTAATTAGATTTGGTCCTGGCAAGATACTGTACAAATCCAAGGTTAATCTATTTACTTCTGGAAAGAGAATGAGACTTGTAGAAACATGAACATAAGGAATATTGAAAATGTGACTGTTTCCAACATAAAAAAAGCTAAATTTGAAGTTGAAGACCTATGTTCAAGTTTTGACTTTTCCTATTTATACCTCTATGATCTTGGGTAAGTCACTTGAAATCTGAATCTTTATTTTCTCATCTTTTAAGTGGGAAAGACAAGACTTTAAACATTTATGAGGATAAAGTGAGATAGTAATGTAAGTGTTTTATAAATTGAAAAGCACTATATATATGAAAATTAATAATAATAATCTGAATAATATAGCAATAATAGGTTGTCCCTACCTGTGATTTAGTTGGAATCACTGAATTTATGTTACTGGTTTGTTTCATATTACTGATTTAATTTTTCCTCATCCTATTTGTGAAAGAAATTGACAAAAGCATAACATATAAACTGTTTCAAAATATTATTCTTGAAAAAGTATGAAAATCTCTACTTATTTCTCCATCTTTACACTATTTTTACAAAAAGAAATAGCAATTGCTTTGCCTTATTTCCTCTAAATTTAACCTCGGAAAAGTAATTCATTTAATTTAATAAGATGGACAGTGGCCGTTCAAATAAGATGTTCTTTCAGGAAAAAAAAAGGGTAAGGTGGGGGAAGAAAGGAAGAAAACAAATCATTCATTTGGAAACAAGCTGGTACCTGTCAGAACAATCTATGGAAATTGCCCATCACTGCATATACTGTGTTTATGCTATAATTAAAAAGGGATTAAAAGGAACTAGAGCATAGCACCTCTGATTACTGTTCCCATTCACCCTCAAGAACTAAAAAAGCCAGGGTGTTAAATTTAGCCAGTGGCACAAACTAAGCCCAGGCCATCTAGCCTGGCCTATGGGCTAGAAGTGCTTTGACAAAAGTTGGACAGTTAATTTCCCTCTTGGAGATGTTTCTAGTAAAATGGAGGGAGAAAGCTGAATTGTTTTTAAGCCAGACATGCCATGTGTAACTAAGGAACTTGAGATATTTCCTTCTCCCTTCTCTGAACTGTGATGTTTGAACATCGGTAATTATGAATATATTGAGTCTCTTCATGTGCATTATTGAGGTTTCAAATATGACATTTTTAATTCTTGCAAAGAACATATGACATTGTTCAAGGGCACTGTTAAATCTTATGTCCTGGGAAATTTAAACCTTTTTTCTTGGTTCATGAAATGATAGAGACCTACAATTTTCCCTGAGTAAGAAGGCTGCTTCTCTGTCCCTTGCCCCTTTCTCCTCCTCCTTTCAAAAGGAGAGTTCCATTGTGTTTACCCAGAAATGGGGCTTTGTGGCAATTAAAAGATTCCTAAGTGGCAGAGGCTAACGTACCAGTAGAGCTGGATTCCAGCTTTCCATGGTAACACCCAACTTCCCTTCTCTAACCACCTCCTTCTAGTCCACCCAGACAATGCTAATCCCACCTCTGTGGTTACTCTGAAAAGGCATCCAGTGTGGTTATCAGAAAGGATCTTTCTTAAACAAATATTTGCCAGAGTCTGTTTTACTCCTTTGGGGAGTTAGCAAAGGAAAGCTTGATTCTCTTAATCCTTTTTGATCACAAGATGTGTCAAAGACGATAGAAGTAGTCAGGGTTACTAGCACAGGAGCTCAACATGTGAGGAAGCTGACCCTTCACGGCCTTGATGAGCTCAACCTTTAAGGGGATTGATAGGCTACTCATCCCCTAGGTGACTTATTCCTCCTTGGCATCCACCGCTTGTCCCTTCCTCTGCATGGCAGAAATCCAGGAACATTCCACAAGGGTTACAACATTTTCCTTTTACAATAATGTGCCTTACCTTTCTCTTGGTTCCATGAACTCTTTGAATATCAAAGTGATTCACATGGGAGGATCTGATCCTGCACTCCTCACTGAAAATCTCAAAAATACAAGATCATGAAGTTGTGTGATGTTATCTTTTTGATAATAATGCACTGCATGTTTATCTTCATCACATTTTCAGCCTGAATACTGCCAGGAAGCTTCTTGGATAAAAAGATATGAGGGATATACAATATTTGGAAACTATTTTTATAACTATTGCTTTTGCTACCTGCTTTAGATACTCTGAACTATTGTGAAGAATATCCCCAGAAAGGATTGGTTATCTGTGTCCTTATTGGATATTTCCTTATTCATGTCTTAATTTGAAGATGGTGTATAGAAGTATCAGACCAAAATCAATTTCCTTTTCACATAATCTATATTTCCAACAAACATTTAGAGATAAAAGCTCATCCCTTCAAGTTGTCTCACATCAATTCTGAACTAGACTTTAAACTACCTTTTCTAACAAAAGAACATCAGAATAAACATATATGTACACACACATTAAAATTCTGAGAAAGAATGTATTAAGTTTTATAAGATTCATTCACAACTATTTATTGGCACTTTCTCTGCTATAGTTGACTTCCACATGGCTTCTCCTTCACCGAGGACCTGGACTTTATTTACTCTTGCCTACTCAGAGCTATCCCTCCAATGTTTTTCTGTCTTCCCTGCTTCCTCAGCCTCCCATCCTCATCTTGGATCTTTCTCATCTCCACACAAACACTGTGCTATTTCTCTTCCAAACCCCTCCTTCAGTCTGACCCACCCTCACCCAGCTACTATTGTATTTCTCTCCCTTCATTGTTAGAGAAAGTCTTTAGAGGCGTTGAGTACCTCTAACTTTTCTCACCCTCTTTTGAATTTATTATATCCAAACTTTTGTTCCTGATATTCCAATAAAATGACCACTCTTGTCAAAGTCACGAATGAGCCTCATGTCAGTAAATACAAAAGCGAATTCTCAGTCTACATTTTATTTAATTTATTGGTAGCATTTAACACTACTTGATCTAAAACTTATCCATGCTGTAACTATGGTCCATTATTTCTAGGTTTCACAGCTTCAACTTCCTTTTATTGGCTGATAACTCTCAAGTCTACTTCTCCAATCCAGACCTGATATTTGTTGGAGGCATGAATGGAAGAATGAACCAATTACCTTTTCTACACTTTATCTTAGTGTTCTAGCAATAACATTACTAAATATGAGGGAAAACAAAAGGAGAATGGGGCCAGGGATTTAGCTCAGTGGTTTTGCTGCTTGCTGCGCAAGCGCAAGGACCTGAGTTCGAACCCCGGTACCAAAAAAAAAAAAAAAAAAACCAAGAGGAGAATGGCTATGACTTTGCTCACTTATCTGCCTTCAGAAGCATTTTCTTGTTGTTATTTTTCTAATAAGATTCTGAAATGTAGATTTCTTTTTCCAAGTGAAAATAATTTACTGAAGATAATAAAACACTACAGCTTTATTTTTATACTTTATCCTCATGAAACAGTATGCTACAGCTTTATCCTTGCAAAACAGTGAAAGTTGCACATGTTCAGATCTTCTGTCATGCCAATTCTATGATATTTTAACCTATGAAAAAATTAACTTCAATGCCAGTCATTACCAATTATTATATTGAAGCTGTAGCCTCACAAAACTATTATGAATAAAATACTTTTCAAATGCATTTGTCTTGTAGGTTGGCCCTTGCCTTTTGCAAACTATTCATGCTGCTCTGGGCTCAAATTTGTGCTCCTATGATTGGGCTCTATTCTCACAACCAGGAAACACTGTGCCCAGCAGGTTCCTAGCCTGTCTGATCCTGTCCCATGCTTGGTAACCAAGTTCTGCTTTACTGATTGTGGTCTATTTAACTCCATGCTTCCTGGTTCTTGACCTGGGCTGCAAACTGGTTTTTGAAATATTCCTAATAAGCTTTTCTCTAGGAACTGAACTTCCTGTAATAAGAGGATCCTTGATGGTAAGATTTTAATTTCCTTATGAATGCAAAAATGAAACTATTGACAAGATTTACACTATGAATTCTTCCTATGGCTATAGATATATACATATGGGTATAACATGCAGTTTCTTACATTTTTTATAATAAGCTCTTGCCTTTACCACGTGAAATTCATATGCATACAGAGTGAATTAGATTGGCATTGGTAATCTCTGAGAATTATTTACTGTGTTGTGCTGATTTCTTAAAGAGATAGCAGGAAGAGTTTAAGCAGGAATGTGAGAGAAAGAGTTTATATTACTCTGTATGGAGCCATCTAAAATAATGTGATAATTTGATGTGACAACTGCTTTTAATAAATTTAATGATATTTTGCTGTCTCAATAAAAACAGGACCAAAAAGCAAGAGGGAAAGGACGCACAGGAAGAGAAGGAAAAGGAGGAAGGAAGAATTTCTTTCATGTAAGACCCATTAACCAAATATGCCAGGTAATCTGGAAACTTCTTTAGAGAATTTAGTCTTCTCCCTGTAGAAATGGTTTAATTCTAAGAGGTATTACCCAATTAAAAATTATCTTGTATTTTTGCATAGATTATAAATGGGTTTAAATTATGGGAAAATGATTATATTCCTGAGAACTGTTAATATGATAAAGGAATGAAATTACATCAGGTCTTAGGTTTAAGTTTATTTTTTTTACATTTCCAAAACAGTTTTATTCATTGTGATAAATTTAAAGGAATAGAGTAGGCATTGTTTTGTTTTATCAGGTCTGCCTGCCAGTAAGTTATAGGACCTTAAGGAACTATCTGTACTCATATTTCTACTTAAAGAAAACAAGAATCCTATAACTTATTTTACAAAATCTTAGGGTACTTTTCAAAGCACCACATTTATGCTAATTTATGGAGATTAATGGCAATGAGATCAGAAAAGTTGCTGATTTAAAGAAAAAAATTAATATTTTACTGGTGTCTACTGGCAAGATATGCATGTAACAAAAGCCATCTTTGTACATAGTACCATTGATGCCCATATTTAGGAATCCTCAGAAGGGAAGCCAACATTTGACTCAGCAGAATGATTGATCCCTGCTGCTGGATCCTCCCATTTGGAATAATATTCCAGATAGTTTGTACTACCACTCCCTATGCTGAATAAATACATAAATTCTGCCATAATCATGTGTCAATCTTTCCTTAACATGAAATTCCCAGAAATATAAGACAGAAGACTTTGATTGTTATTTTAGAGGACACAGAGATTAGTCTTTATGGCTTAATTCTTGGAAACCAAACTTGTGCTTAAAATTTCACAAGCAGAACGCACAATGCTCCCTATAATGGACAGGTGATGTTTTAAAAGAAAAATTCGCTATAGAAATACTCATTTAAATAGGTACAAGTGTTACTTGTTTCAGGCTTCAAGCATCTACTTGTAAGGACTAACTTAAGCCTCCACATGGGGAGGAAGTCCTGGCATGGTAGGGGTTAAGGAAAGTTATCTGTCTAGTGCTGCTCATGCCTCTTCTATTAAGACTAACTCATTTGTAAAATATAAAAGGATTAAAGGTCAATCAAAATATTTTGCTACTGAATATGTATTGTGTGTGTGTGTGTGTGCACGTACGTGTTTGTGTGTATAAAACCTAAAATGGTGATGGTAACATTTGCCTCTGACACAGCAGATATTTTGCATCAATAAACCATTTCATCTCTATTTGGTGAGTTATATTTATATTTTCTCTCCTCAGTCTTGGAATAATTCCTCATATTTAACATCCAGTTAAGAGAAGCCTACCTAGACTCTTAGGGATATAATATCAACTTCCTGATTCCTCTGGAATGCAGTGACCCTTGTTTTAATGGACTGAAATATGCACTACATGAATTTTCATGTCACTACTGTCTTTCACAGTATTTTTGGATTCCCTGCTGAAAAAAAAATCATGCTTCTAGAACAGAGCTTCAGCAATTATGTGGCTGGATTAATCTGTCATCAGCACATTGACACTCTTTGCAGTGAAAAATTCAGAGACTCAACTTTCTTGGCTTCTGAACAACCTCTTGGCTAAGAAAAGAAAGACAGGGAAGGTTAGGCCCCTAGGTCACACATTTATGACAAAAGATACAAGTTTATCAGATAAACTAAAATCAGAGAAAGTTAAAATTATTTTGAAAGAAATACATCTTGGGAAGTTTCTGTAAGAATAACACAGAGCTCTGTCATCAACAAGGTGTAAGTCATTCATAATTAGGATTCTGTGAGAGATGACTCATGTCTCTTGGATAAATGAACATAAAAGCAATTAGTACAGTGTGAATTACTTGGTTTCTAAAGCACCTGACAGTTATGACACCAAATCTAGATTTTTATCTGCCCAATACTGGTTCAATATAGTCAACATTAATTTAACTTTTTTTTTTACTTCAAGTTAGTGAGAAACTTTTTAAAAAACTTAAAAAAATTTGATGTTATACTTCCTGTTTAAGGAAAGAGGACATGACAAAAAGATGTGATTCCAATATGAAGCCACCAAATTGAATGTGTCATCCCAGTGAGCATGTCCAATATAATGCAAAACTTCAAATCTCATGATGGACAGCCAGGCACCTGCTCAGCATGCACTGTACACATGATAAACCAAGAGAGCTAGTAAATATAATTGCTCTGAATTCTGTAGAGGACACTTCACGTATTCAAGACTGTCCCATTTCCTTGCTCAGGTGAAATTTATAACCTAAAATGTACACATTTACATAGGCCTAGAGAACTGAAGACCATGAATAGATTAAGAAATTAATCATATCCCAGTGATTTATTCATTGGATTTATCTGAGAGTTTACATAATAGCATGGGTGACAGCTAAAAGCAAAGTCATAGGAATATGCCTGAGCAGGATCCAAATACTGAACCTGGACATTTCTGGTTGGATGACTGTGTGCAATTTAATACTCTCTCCATGCCTCAGTTTCCTACTTCATAGGGATTTTAAAGATTAAATATCATCCTTGTAGGGATTAAATGTCACAATGCTTAATATATTATAAACTTCCTGGACCAGGGATTTAGCTCAGTGGTTTCACAGCCTGCTGCACAAGCGCAAGGACCCGAGTTCGATCCCTGGTACCAAACAAAAAAACCCCAAAAATTAAAAAAAAAAAAAATATATATATATCATAAACTTCTTGAAAGTGGCCTTCATATTTCTCTTATTTAATATTGAAACTCCCAGCATACTCTCTGGCATATCATAGGACTCAGTAAATGTTAGGTGAAAAATTATGCAAAATGCTTATCATAGCCCATGATATATGGTACTAAAATATGTTGGTAGTGAAAATTATCACATTTAGGATCCTCTAGAATTCCCTTAACAATTCCTTAAATCATTTAGAATGCCATAACTTTCAAACTCCCATAAGACCCTCCATAATGTGACTTGTTACTATATAATTTTATCCTGAGTTAATGTTCTACTCTTTTTTTATACCTCTAACACATTGCTCTCCTTTAGTTTACAAACTAAATTATTTCCAACCCCACGACCTTTGCGCATGCATCTTCTATTATGTTCTTATCTTTTCCTGTTCTGTGGCAATTCTCCTCCTCATCTTCTAGCTCTTTGATTAAGAGTTCTGTCAGGTCCAGAACCACATGATTTGTTGTGAAATCTCAGAAGCAGTAGCAATGAAGGGCAACAAACCTATATATTTCTACACTAGCCTACTTCATGGTATACTTTCACAGATGGCTATGCTTAACTTCCTAAAAAACCAGCTGGTTAACTTATGCTAGGAATGGTTAATGACTTTTTCTGAGCCTTCTCAGAACTTTACTTCCTCAGGTCTATTTACTGTTGCATAGATATAATTCCTGTAATAAATTACTTGTTCTATAATATCAGTTATTCTTGCTTTGCTGATTAGACAAGTTGCTAACGTTTTTGATAATGGAACTTTTAAGGTCTCAGAGTAACAGAATTATGAAGACGAGTGTGTCTGGAGTTAGTTTTTATTGGGTTTGAGGCCTCGATGTGGTAATGGAAACGCCTGTAACCCACAGACGAAACAGTTACTTGAAAGATCACTTCTGGGTGCCTGTAATCAAGTGACTATGGGTGGGAAGGCTTTGGGATGATCATGAGACATTTCATAAAACATGTCAGTGAAAATGAGGTGCATAACTGCTTGATTTTAAGTGTATTGAAAACTTGGAAAAAGAAAATAATGTGGTGGAGGTTTTTAATTCCCAGTTAAGTATACTGAATCAAAGTGGGAAGAAGAAATGTTAGATCAAGATGAATTTGTTAAGGGTACACTGTGCAGCAGAGATTCTAGGTTCATGGTGTCCCCTTGAACAGCAAAGAAAAGCTCTAATAGGTTGGTTAGTTGGTTGTTTGGTTAACTAAAGCCTAGGCCCCAAAGTAACCTACAACAATGATGCTATAATTCTACAGCTTTCTTGGTATACTAAAAAGAAAGGTACCAAGGACTTAGAGAGATTAAAATGCTAGAGTGGATTTATGATGTAAGATCTTTTCATTCACCTCTTAAACTTGAGAAGATCCAAAGAATACTCCCTTTACCAAGGCTATGCAAGGATGGAAGAAATATATTTATGACGACCTCTGAAGAGCCCTATGGGGGAAATTTGATGGGCTAGTGCATTTTTTTGTATATGTTTATGTCCCCCAAAGGTTCATATGTTGGAAACTTGTTCCAACACATGATGGTAGCAATAAGAGGTTGTGGAACCTTTAAGAAATGGGGCCTCATGGGAGGCTGCAAGCCTGGTATCACCTTTTAGATTGGTTTCCTGTCTCCTCATGTGATCTCTCCCTCTTGCCTATGTTCCTACCATGACACTGTCTACTACCAACTCCCACTAGAGCTGGCACTATGGTGTTTGGACTTTCAGCTTCCAAAATTGTGAGCTAAATAAACTTCTATTCTTTATAAAGTTTCCAACCTTTGTTATTTCATTATAGGAAAGGAAAATTGACTAATGTAGCCAGGAATGATAGAAGAACTCTTTCCATAAGACTGAAATTTACTGGAATTCAGTGGTGATAATGGGAATTATCAGTTGCCAATGCCAAGTAACAGCACGTAATCATCCAAGACAATGTAGATAATGATGATCATAACTGGCAGCAGATCCACAATCAGAATAACTTCACCAGCAGAGACATTGACACTGGGTAGGTGATAATGATGTTCCTACAAATGAAATCAACTGACACACTATAAAGTCTTATTTAAGTGGAAAACTCTGGATTTTATAAATAAGGTTCTGACTTGAGTCATCACAATAGAAAGTTGTGACCAATCCCTCAACTAATTCTCATGTGAGACAGTTAACAGATTTAGAATACTTTGAATTAAGGGAGGTCAGATTCCCTTGAGAAAGGACGCTGTTATGTAACTAGAAATTTATAGGGCATTTGGGCCGGGGATTTAGCTCAGTGGTTCTGCCGCCTGCCTC